TCAGTTATTCTAAATGTAATCTTTTGGCCTATGAGTATCATTTATTTTATGCGTATGGAGTGAGGTTTTTGTTAAATTTCTCCTCGTCAACACTTCCCAGCAGAGTTAGTTGGTCTATAACCACTGCCAAGCTTAATATTGGCATAAAAGATTACTATACTCTTTGGTATACAGTTACTAATATTTGAAAAAAGAAAATTATTTAGATATCACCGTGTGAGTCATTTCTCAAGCTGTTCTGTGTTAATAGTCATGTGGTGATGAAAGGAAAAAAAAAAAAAAAAAACTGATTAGCCAGGTTGGCATCTGGGATGCACATTATTCAGTAGATATAATTTTTTGATTTGATGATCCTAGAGGTTTATACTAGTAAAGAATTGTTTCTTCAGTATTGAGCTAGTTTATTTAGAATAGAAGTGAAGTTAAGAATAGGGATTCGTCACATATTTTATTATGAAAAAATACCAAATCGCATGTGTAAAGCATATAAAAAATTTCTAAAAATAAAGGTTGCTTTGGTGGCCTTCAGCTTTGGATTTTAGTTCATTCCGTACAGTGGACATCCAGATTTTGGACTTTGTGTTACGTATTTTCTAGTGAAATGTTAAATAATGCACTGACACTCTGGAGCATACTCTATATAGTTGAAATTCTCGCATTGGGCAAATTGGTACTTTGGTAAACAAAACAAAGTACAGTCAAAAGTTGTTAATTCGGACACCCATTTACGCATGCGCGTAAGACCTTTATGGCTGCGCTTATGCGTGTGCGCATGTGCATGAAATGTTTACGCATGCGCGTTTAATGTATAATGGACGGTATAAGCTAAAATTATCTAATTATCTATTTCAGGTAATGTTGCAGATTGCGTTGTTCCGTAATCTTCTAATTGGATCCGGCTTATTATTTTTTGCAAACTGTTAGAGCAATTTTATAAAAGTAAGCTTGAACTTTCGATTATGTCAAAAAGAATTTCCGATTCTGGAGCTACCAAAGGATGTACAAAGCGAAAGCATGTTTCGATGTTCATCAAACAAAAAGTGGAATTGCTGCAAAAAATGGATAAAGGCATATCCTTTGATTCTCTAACCATTCCAAAATATGTTTATCAATTTCACGCTGCTCTGCAGAGGGACGACACGGCGCGCAATAAACCGGAAGTTGATCAACACTATCCTTATCTTCAGTGCAGATGTTTTTATTTTATTGAGCTTATAATTCCTTACTAAATGTAGTATTTCATCTCGATGTACTCCGTCTTTGATATGATTTAAATCAAATTCCTCATCATTATAATTCACTTCCGATAGTGAAGAAAGTGACACAGAGGTTATTGAAAACGAAAAAATTTCGATTGACAAATTAGTTGGTATTCTCGACACAGCAATTATAGCACTTGAACGGCGGAACTTTGTAACTGAACAAGAAATTTATAGAATTAAAGAGAAAGTATTATCACATAAAACGAAACAACTTAAAAAACTTGCATTGAAAGAAATGTTCAATAAAGTAAACAAATAAATATTAAGCTTTTCTTTTTTGTAAATTTTGATACCCTTTAGATCATAATTGTTCTTTATTTCATAAATTACGGTTTCATATTTTTTATTTTATAATTTCTGAATGCTATCTTACCAGATTTAAACTGATGATGTATAATCTGGAAAAATCGATAATTTGAAATCGCTGAAGTCCCAACGAGTCCGGATTAACGACTTTTGACTATACCAATTTTTACCAACCAACGGGATTTTCCCGTCGACTACAAGAGACTGCGCCAAGCCAAAAAAAAACCACCCAGTTACTAAATACAAGAAAAAACGTTCTATTTTTTTAATTTCAAATTTATTAAATTATCATTTATTTATATTAATTTTCATTAAAAATTTGGTAATCTTTGGAATATGTAAGAGGTAGATTGGCGACATTTTTGGTAAGGCGATAAAGGTTACTAGCTAGACTTTAGCATTGTAACATGGATAAAGTCAAGAGTGTGCACAATGCATTTTTGGGCAATTCTGGATGTTTTTCAAGTGAAAATAGGTCGACGTGTATATGGATACCGTGTATGTGCAATTCGTAAAAACGCAAGCAGTTTGCAATTCTGCACTTTCTCCCAATTTTGCACATAATCTTCGTCATGATTAAGCTTTTTTGTTCCAGTTCTAGCATAAGCGTAATTCGGCAAACAGATTGTTGGAAAAAATGTTGAGGAAAAAAAAAATGCCTTTACTTCGTGAAAACAAAATGGCATCCAAAAAAAGCTAGCAGGTTGCTGTAGCAGGGTTGGTCGCCTAATTTTCGCGAAAAAATCGCGAAGTTACCATAATCCAAAGATTAAAAAAAAATTTCATTATTTTTTATTAAGGAGATATACTGTAAAAACAATTATTGTCGCTAGGTTTTTCCTCGAACCACGTTCCCTTTCGAACTGACACTGGCTTCGCACAAGCCTTAACATTGCAATGCCATTGCTTCTCAGTTTTTAAATAAAGCGCCATTTCATGGCCACATTTTTATGAAGCTGTTAAGATTCCATAACTTTGGAAATATTCAACAGCATGCTCTTCTGTAATAGGCAGGTCCCAAATTTTAATCCCTTTTTTTAAAAAAAATGTGAGATAGAGGGAGGAAAAAAGGAGTCTTTACCCAAGAATAATAACTAACACGTGTAATCAAGGTTACATCAAACCCAGCGTATTTGAAGACTTTTCCATTTTTGGCGAAAAATCGTGTAGTTCGGTGTCTTCTGTTTAATAGGCTAAAATGGTCGACGGGATTTTCCATAAGTACTAGCAAATTAAATGGAGACAAACAAGATAATGCATATACACAAAATCACATTCCTCAAATCTGCATTCAGCAAAGATTTATTGTAATTATTTCCACTTAATAAAAGTACTTTTTTATGTCTAATATAAAGTGACTACATTTTCATTGAGGCAAAGCGGGACAAATGGAATGAAATGAGAATTATAATTTAGTTATGAAAGCAGACCAATAATTCAAAAAAATATGTTTTATTATATACATTCATATACTTGTGTATAAATATTAAAAAATATGGTTGATCTTTACATTATGGTAACTTGGCGTTTTTTTGGCGAAAATTTGGCAACCAACTCTCCTACAGCAACCCTCTAATTTTTTTTTCCCCGCCGCCATTTTGTCTTCACGAAGTAAAGACATGTTTCTTTTCTTTTTATCTACTGAACACTTCTTCCAACAATCTACTAGCCGAATTACACTTATGCTAGAAATTTTATCAAACAAAACTGCTTATCATGACAAATTTCACTGCAAAAATTCGGAAAAAAGTGCACAATACCATACACCTTACGCTTTTTCAAAATAACACATACACATAAACCATGTACAACCCGACTTATTTTTACTTAAAAAAACATCCAGAATGCAACAAAAATGGCATTGCGCACCACTCTTCACTATATCCATGTACACTGCTTTTTTCTCATAAATTAGAAAAATTTCACGAAATACATGAATTTTCTCAATCTTTAAACCAAGGTAAAAAGAACATATATGAAATTACCTGATCGCGAAAAAAAGTATTACCCTTTACAAATATGAACATTTCCACATATAAAATAAATAAAAATATCCAAAAACTTTTACCTCTAAATATCTAGTATATTATAAACGTCACCAACAAATTCATACACAACCATTACAAATACTTAGTGTCAGATATTTAAATTATTTCCATGCACGTTTACTTCAACTAAAACGTTATACCAAAATTCCTACAAACATAAATTCACAAAATAACTATCATTTCATTAAAATATAATGAAATTCAAAAACACTACTTAAAATATAAATGAGCACATACATTAAATTAATAAAAATTACTTTACAATCCTAATTACTTTAAACTAATCATTGCTAATAACAATTTCCAATAATACCAAATTCCTTTCCACCTACCTTTAGAACAATGCATAAAAATAATATCCTCAAATAATTTTAAATACTAACTTACCTAATCTTCTTCAGAATCTTGATTACGTGGGGATACACTTTTCTAATTCATTCAATAAAATTATGAAAGATTTTTTCTGCGAATTTCTCCTCCATACTTCCTCCGCTAAATAAAAAGCAAATTTCTCTTATCACAATGCTTAAATCCATTTCGAATTCACTTTAGTTAGGGCCATGGGATCCAAAAAGTAAACAACACTGTTCCACAAACACAGAATAAAGCTAATACAAAATTTCCACATTTTTTCCCGGATTTCCCCTTTTCCGATTAAAGAACCGTAATTCGTCCAGAATATCACATGACATATCCCATGATCTCTCATTTCCCCCACAAAGTAATGCGTAATCGGAACTGAGTACTGCTCACATTATTACCAAAGTCCCAGGTAGTAACATTTATCGCCTCCAAAATCACCAAACTACCAGTTACCATATTGTAAAGATCAACCAAAAATATATTTATTATTAACTATTGGTAACTATAAAAATAATTGTAAAAAACAATACTTTGAATATTGTTTTTTATTAATCTAATATTTTATTTAAAAAATTATGATTTTTTTCGTGGTTATATTTTTTATCCGAGTGAATACTTTGCAAAAGATTCGGATCATTTATTAAAATGTCATGAAATTTCTCACATGAATTAGTCAAATTATATTTTAGGCTTAATACAGATTTTAAAGTTTTAATGTTCAACTGCATTTTTTTCAATTGTCCATATTTTATTGATACTATAAAAAACACATTCTGTTGCTGCATTTGTTCCTGGAAGGAAGAGCGTGTGTTCTATGATTTTCAAAATATTTTCATAAGGAATATTATTCTGTTTAAAATGAAGGAATAACTCCATTCATTTTTTGTCTGTTTCGACATTTGCAGATAATCAACATTTAATTTTTTCATCAGTAACGTATCTTTTTACCAAGGACACTTCATCAAAAAGATCATTTTCGCAAAATGGCTACTAATATATTAAAAAGATTTTTCCACATATTCCCATAAAAATCTCCTTTTTTAATGTCACCCAATGAAAGTTTTTAATATCCTTGAATTGAACTGTCTGTTCTTCAAGATATTCCAAGCAATATAAAAATTTCTGTCTTCTTTCAGAAAATCAGGTCGTTTAATATGGCACCTTGTTCTTCCAACCTAGTGATGTCCTTTCGATTAACTAAAGGAACGCAATCGTTATCAATTCTTTTTCGTAATTTTGTTTTTAAATTGTTGATTTCATTTGACACTTCCATAATTGAAATTTTGTCCCCTTGAATAATTTTCACAGCATTGCAAAATAATGTAGCTTAGTTGCGGATGAACTGAAGATAAATTTGCGATGTGTCATTTTCAAAAAACAGCTGCAATATCTTGGACTTTATCTTGGGATAAAAAATATATTTTAATGGTTCGTATATTTTTAAAATATTTTCTACAGCTGGTTAAAAGAGCTAGCCATCGTGTTTTGCTGTAACCAGTAGTTCTTTTATATTCGATTTCTGCTTTCACAAAAATCTTTCAAACTTTCTACACACACAGTATATTTATATATATAATAAATAGGAATAAATTTTTGCAAATAATATTGGGTTGGCAACTAAGTAATTGTGGATTTTTTTAGAAAATCAAAGACTATTTTTTTTCATGGAACTAAATAACTTTCTTCTGTAATGTATTGCCCATTTTGATCAATGACTTTTGGCCATCTTTCAGGCAGCATCATAATCCCCATTCATAAAAACTTCTGGTTTTATTAGCAAAAAAAACGAATTAGGTAATGATTTGACATCATCATCATTATTGAAATTTTTACCATTCAAGGAGTTTTGTAAAGATTGAAACAAAAAATAATCAGATGGTGCAAGGTAAGGACTATATGGTGGATGTGGCAAAACATCCCAACCAAGCTCCAATATTTTTTGCCGAGTAATGACCAAAGATGTGTGCGACCTTGCATTGTCATGATGGAATACAACACCTTTTTGATTTGTCAATTCGGGCCGCTTTTCTTCAACTGCATTGTTTAATTTCGTTAGTTGTTCAATGTAGACATCAGAATTGATCGTTCGGTTGGGTGGTAAGAGTTCAAAGTAGACAATTCCTTTGTAATCCCACCAAACTGATAACAAAACCTTCTTTTGATGAATATCAGCTTTTGATGTTGTTTGAGTTGGTTCACCTAGCCTGCTCCACGATCTTTTCCGCTTGATATTGTTGTAAACAACCCATTTTTCATCGCCAGTTATCAGTCGTTTTAAAAATGGATCATTTTCATTACGTTTCTTTAGTTCTTTCTTTAGGGAATTTTCATACGCAAATGGCAGCTGTTAATGCGTTGCGTTAAATGCGTTTCCTTTCAGTTCGTGAGGAACCCACCCGTGTATCTGAGTTTTTGAACATAGCCAAGTTGTTTTACGTGATTTTCAATGCATGTATGTGATACATGAAGCTTCTCTGCAATCTCACGTGTTGTACTGTGACGATCCGAATCGATTATTGCTTTGATTAGGTCGTCATCAACTTCAACTGGACGACCAGAGCGTTTTTCATCTTTGAGTGAAAAATCACCAGAACGAAATTTGGCAAACCAATTTTGACACTGCCGTTCTTTTAAGGCTTTGTCACCATAAACAGTACATAACTTTTTATGAGCTTGCAATGCGTTTTTCCCTTTGCAGAAACAAAAAAGCAAAATATGATGAAAACGTTCCTTTTGATTTTCCTTTTTCAACGAACGCCAAATGAAAACTACGCAACCGATCAAAAAACATTTTTTACTGTTTGACAGTTGAATTGCCAACTATCAAATAACAAAATGTGTTTTACATTTGTATTACGTCTGCAACCCTAAAAATTCAACTGAAGCCATCTTTGAGTGAAACTCCGCAATTTACTTAGTGACGATCCGAATCGTTATTGGTTTGATTAGGGGTCGTTATCACTTCAACTTGGGGGAACGACCTAGCGGTTTTGCATCTTGAGTGAAAAAATCACCAGACCAAACCAATTTTGACACTGCGTTTCTTTAAGGCTTTCGCACCATAAACAGCACATAACTTTTTATGAGCTTGCAATGCATTTTTCCCTTTGCGAATAAAAAAGCAAGGGGGGGGGGGAGGGGGGGGAAGGGGGGGGGGGGGGGGGGGGGGGGAGGGGGGGGGGGGGGGGGGGGGATGACGAAAATGTTCCTTTTGATTTTCCATTTTTCAAATGAATGCCAAACGAAACCTATGCAACCGATCAAAACACTTTTTTTACTGATTGAAGCTGAATTGCCATCTATCAATAACAAAATGTGTTTTTACTTTGTACTATGTCGCAACCCTAAAAATTCAAACTGAAGCCATCTATGAGTGAAATCCGCAATTAAACTTAGTTCCAACCCAATATTTTCATTTCAACATCCCTTGAAATTAAGTCAATGCTGTTTTAAATGTATGCGTAGAATGTGCACTGCACAACCTACTCGAATAATTTTTTGGTTGAAACGTTCTTTAAGTTTCGTAAAAATGTTATTGATATATCTTTTAGCTTTTCCATCAAAATTTGCGTTAGTGTCAATAATAAAATTATTGCCTCACGATAGCCAATAATTTTATTGTTCAATTTTTTTTTTAAATAGTACTTATCTAATCAAAAATATTTGTGAAGTTTCACCCAGCAGCCGCCCAGACGGCATAGTGGTTAGGGAAGCCTGACGTGCGATACCGAAGGGCCTGGGTTCAAATCCGGGAGAAGGCATGGTTGTAACTGTCTGTCCCTTCATAGGAGGTAATGGTGGCTCATCTATTAGGTGTCTCCGTAATAAAGAGACCACCAAATCTGGCCTTAATATAGATTAATGGACTCTGTTACAAAACTGTAACTGTTCAAAATCTGCCATTGGAAAAAAAAAAAAAGTTTCACCTGGCAATGAAACAAAATCTCATATTCTAATTTTAATTCCTGTTTCTGGATCAAAAATTCTAATAATTGTGGGAAATAAAATTTAAAGCTTTGTGGTTGGAAGCATCATAATATATAGATATAAATGTGCATTTATCTAATTCATTCTGCAATTGTGAAAACGAATATGGTGAAAAAACATTACAAATAATTGCTTCATTTTTTGTCCTTGTACATCAAATTTTTTGTCATACAATGTTTTGATCATTTGCGACGTACAATCAATTGATCTGAAACTTTGATTGTCGTTTATGGTGTGGAAAGGAAATAGCCCTTCAGCTAATGCTAGTTGTTTCTCTGTTAACAATACATATTCCTTGACGAGACGTAACGACCATGATCAAACACCACCGAGTAAATCTAACTTGTTACATCGCCTAATTTAGTTTACTCTGCATGAATTTTATGTTTTTTTTTTTTTAAATTTCTTTATATTCACTATAATAATGAATAAATAATAGGTAATATATTTTTACAGTACATTTAAAATAAGAAATGCAGATGTTTTCTAAAAAGCGGAATATTTTTAAAAATCGGCTGGACAGTCCTTCAAAAAGCAGGAATCTCGTGCCAAAATCAGGACGTATGGTCACTTTAGTCTAATAATCATATCTGTTACATTGTTTTTTAATGTAACTTCATTATTAATAAAGGAAAGTTAATAAAAATTGAATTTGCCTGTTATTTTATGTATTCAGTTAATTATAATTCATTTTATGTAATTAGATGTATTCTTTTTTACAAAATTTTTATCTTTGGTAAAATTACGTTTATTATTTTAGGTTCATTCATCCTCACTGCTTTATACAGATAGTCCAAGCAAAAATTCAGAAATACTTGTGTACGAAGGTCATTTGAAGAACCGCATTAAAATAGTGAAGTTATTATCTCTGTCATCAAGTATGCTAGGCTTTGGCATACTCCCCTTAATAGTAAATGATTTATGCAAGATGAACATATTTGTAGGCTGTGCAACTGGTGTTGTGTCATCATTTTTTCTTTGTACTCCATTCATACTTCACTGGATAACAAAGCGATATGTCATAGAACTACACTTTGATCCTGAAAGTAAAACGTTTACAGCCAAGACATTTAATATTGTAAGCCAACTTCAAGAATTTAAATTTAAAGCAACTGATGTTACAGTACCTGAACTGCCAGGTGTGTTAACTTCATTTTGTGTTAACGAAGTACCATTATTTGTTGATTCTAGAATGGTGAAAGAACCTGATGCTTATTCTCACATGATGGGTTATGACCAGCCTTTTGATTTTGGACTTCATAATAATGAGACGAAAGAAGATGTTAAATAGTAATTTAGATTGTGATACGATAAATAAAATATATTTGAATTGAATGTAGGTTTACAAATTTATCCAAAAACTTAATTTTAAAACTAAAGGCAATTATTTCTTCTACTTGGAATTTTAATTTTCGCCATTGTTTTTATTATTCCAAAATCTGATTGTTCTACTATAAGAGAACATTAATATAAATGTAAATAAATTTTAGTATCACATCTTGCAGTAACAAATGTATTTTGGCTGTGATAGCTTTAAGTTAACAATATATTTTGGCTGATACTATGACAAATAGTTTTAAAGTTACAAAGCAGAATTTTTTAATACATTACTGATAGATTAGTGCTGCAGTCTTCTAGATAAGATATTAATTTTTAATATGACATATTTTGTCTTCAGAAATGGAGAAACTGAATAGGTAAGGTTAAAAATCTTGAAAAATGCTGTATGTACTTTCATTATACCTTCATGTATATATTCACAATTCATTTTATTATAGATGATGCATCATTACTGCACTTCCTTCTTTTTTATGTATTGCAGAAAATGTACAGTATTTGTATGCTCATAGGTTGGTGCTATTTAGGTTATTTCTATATATTCATCTATTGAAAATATGCTGTGAAGAAAATATTTCCCAATCTGCTATGCAATTTGGGAAATATTTCCCAATCTGCTATGCAATTTGGGAAAAGAAAAAAAAGTTTCACTTTACTGAAGTACAGTTTTCTAAATTTCTAGATACCTATTTGTGTTCAGAAAATTAATATTTATAAGATGCAGTTTTATAATCTAATTATTAAGAACTCTTTGGATGAGGTTAATACATACTGTGTACGTGAAGTTTACGAGTGGTTTTAATTTTTAGTAGAGTTTATAGCTGAATTACATTTAAATGAATCACAAAAACTAATTAAATAAAATCATTTCTTCATATGGTATTCTTTTTGCTGCACTTTTGTAATATTCATTATAAAATATTCAGTTAGATAAAATAGTAAGTCATAAAACATAAAACATCATACTTTTATATGATCTCTTTAATAATTCAATTGCCATGTGGATAAATAATTAATAAATTTCTTAAAATTACCTAGTTTATTTTCTTAAAGTGAACAAAATCTATTGCAACTGCCTCACATCTCATACTCATTGAAAAAAAACTGTCAGTAAAAGATTTCTGTTCATTGTTCAATGGATATTTTCTTCTTTAAGTACAAGGTGGTAATAAAAAAATACCTTCATGTATTCCTCAAAACGGAATACATGAAGGTATTCCATTTTGAGGACCATAAAAAAATTGCAGCGAAAATGTATGCGCAAAAGCGCCAAATCTAGCAAACGTGCCCATGTAAACAGCTCGCCAAATCTAGCGTACGCACTGATTTCAGATTGCGTAAGTTTATATAGTTCTATATTTCTTAAGACGCCATTAAAATACTAGTTTAATTTTTAAATCCTTTTTTAATATCTTATGGATTTAACAATTTGGGAATTGCCCATGACGAAAAGTCAGCAATAGAATTTTGGTTAAAGTGCAGAATCACCCACTGCTTGAACTGCGCGTTTTTAAGAATTGCACATACTCAATATGCATGTGCACACGATCTATTTTCACTTTAAAAAAAATCCTAGAATTGCACAAAAATGGCACTGTGCACAACCATGACTTTATCTATGTACACATCGACCTATTTTCATTAAAAAGTAAAGAAAATTGACAAAATCCACTTTTTTACCCTTGTAAAAAGCGCAAACAATAAGTGAGCGATTCTGCACTTAAAGAAAATATTTTCAAAGAAAAAGCATCATTCATTATAGAAATACGTTTGAACAACCAACGAGATGAAATATGCTTAGCGATAAGCGGTAGCTAATAGCGATGCGGCATATTCAGTATGTTTAGCAATTTTATAAAAAATCTAATAATGCTCTGATAGTTTTCTCTTATGCTTCCATCGTCATGTTTTTAGCTTTTCTATAATTATAATAATAAAAAAGTATATATGATATTAATTTCTCTAATTAAAAACAATTAGATAGTTATTTATATTATACTCCTTTCTTGCCGCATATTAGGTTGCCCAACTATTTTGGCGGCTTGACAAACAATAGTTGCGATTTTACGGCTCGAAAACGAATAGTACTTTATTAAGACACAATACACGCCGAATAAATACTAATCAGAAGTCAAACAACAAAAATCAGCGTTATATTTACAAATTTTCACAGGACTAGTTTCGATGGTTTTACCGAACCACCATCTTCAGCTGCAAAACCGCAAATGAACAAGATAGGAAAGCCTGGACAAGAATAAGCAAGTGGCGCCATCTGTTGGCGAAACCAGAACTAAAACATAATTTCTCTAAAAGCCGAAGGCAAATTTGGATTGGAATTAGGATCGTTAACTAGAACAGAAAGATTTTTATGAATGTGAAATGCCTCTAGAAAATCCAGTTCTCCAATGGAAGATGTTTTTTGAATAATTTTGGCAGCAGCAGAAAAATTGAAAGTGTGATTTTCGGACCAACAATGTTGAGCAACAACAGAAGACTTCTGTGTTTCCTTTTTTCTAACATATGCCTCATGTTCTTTGACGCGAAATTTTAAGGCTCTCTTAGTTTGGCCAATGTAAATTAAACCACACTGGCAAGGAATCCTATAAATACCCCAGGAATTCATATCCGGAATGGGGTCCTTGAGTATAGAAGTTGGAATTTTATTGATGGGAGAATAAACAACCCGAAAGTTAAATTTCTGCAAAATATGTGCAACTTTATAGCTAATTGATGGAAAGAAGGGAATGACAACAGAATTTTTATAATCTCCTAAAATAAGAGTGTGGCTTTTAGTGTGTTGAGATGAGAATTTTTTAACTGCTTGATTAATAATGTTGGGTGAAAAGCCCCTGTCAATAGCTATTGCTTTTAAATAATTTAGTTCTTCATCAAGGGCTAGTTTGGAGGAGCAAACTTGAAGAGCACGGAAAACATAGGAATAAAATGAAGCTAACTTTTGTTTAGTCGGATGACATGATTTAAAGTGTGGTGGAAGGCAAACCGATGAAGGTTTACGGTAAACTGTAGTACTGAAGTTGGATGTGTTACGTGTGACCAGAATGTCGAGAAACGGAAGAGAATTGCAAGTCTCAAGTTCAAAAGTGAACTGAATAGCAGGATCAATAGAATTCATTGTTGAAAGAACTTTATTTAAATCATCTTTATTACCTTCAAACAGGGTAAAAGTATCGTCTACGTAGCGGAACCATGCCGGGAAGTTTAAAGTTTCAAACAATTTTGATTCATAATAATGCATGTAGATATCAGCCAGGATGGGACTGAGGGGGCTTCCCATGGCTAATCCCTCAGTTTGCTTGTAATATTTATTTTGGAAAACAAAATGTGTTTGTTTCAAACAGAGTTGAGTGAGAGAAATTAGCTCATCAATTTCGATGCAAGAGAAATGAAATTCGCGAAGTCTGGTTTCTAGACATCTTAATGCCACCCTCCACTGGGACATTGGTGAATAATGATTTTACATCAAAAGAAACCATGAGTAAATTACTAGGAGAAATGTTTTTAACCTTTTTTACAAACTCTATTGAATTTTTTATGGTTGTGTAAATGTTATTGTCTAATAGAGTGGAAAATCTAGAAAAACTAAATATTTAGCTAATGGATACGAGGCAGTACCTAAATTTGATACAATAGGGCGGAAAGGAATACCACTTTTATGAATTTTGGGAAGAGCATATAATCTGGCACAATTCGCAACAGATGGGATAAGCGAATGTTTTAAGTTGCTTGAAATGATTTGCGAAGATTTGATCGCAGTTTTTATTTTGGATAAGTCCGAAGGTGAAGGATCTTTAGGGATCGGATTATATGGTCCTTCGTTTAAGAGTTTAGTGACACCATCGATGTAAGTAAGTGTTCTTATCCATGACGACTATCTGGCCACCTTTGTCGGCCTTTGAAATGATAATATCCGGGTTAGAATGAATTTCGCGCATTGTAGCTCTTTCTCTCGCAGTTAGATTTGGTTTCAAAGGTTTATTATTGAATTTCACATTATGAGCGATAAGATGCCTAATCATTTCTTTCTGTGAATCTGAAACTTTACTGAACTTGAAAGCTTTTTCGATAGGAGCCAAAATCTTTGGAATCGAGGGTTTACAGGTTTGTGAGAAGTTAAAATTATATTTTAGAATTCTCTCTTGTTCTTCTGAAAGACTAACATTAGAAATATTAACTATTGGCTTGATGTTTACAATGGGAAGATTTTTTGAACTACTTGAACTGGAAGACTGTAAAAGAAGTTTTTCGAATTTAACTGCAAGGGTGTTTTTATGACGGTTAACTGCATTCTCCGTTCTAGACCAAGACTTTTGTTCAAGGGCAGTGAATTTTGGATATGTTTTAGCGAGTTCATGTTCAATTTTGGACAATTGTTGACGTGTATCCCTTATCACGGACCGAAGTAAGGCAAGCTTGCAATTTAACAGAATTCTTGAAACGCGACTCGAAGGTTTTTGATTAGATTTGATTTGAATAAAATTGGGGATCAATTTTTTACATTTACATTTAAGTAAAAAGTCAAGATGATTCAGGAATTTTTGCCGTTTTCAGGCGTAATTTAGTGAAACGATTAACGGATGAAGGCATGATAAACAATGCAGAAAATCAAACTAAAAATTAATTAACTGAGCAATAATAAAGTACACACAAAATAGCAGAAAAATCCCTCACTGAAATGAATAGAAAACAAAACGTTTGTAAGCAAAATGCATGAAATCAGACAAGCAAAGCACAATATCCAAATGTACAAAACATAAACATAACTTGAAAATTGCAAAAATGTACTCACCGAAACTCCTACAATCACAAAATGGCGGCCACACCACGTGCAAAAAAGAAAGCAAAATGTAAGCCTGTTTGGGGCTTCTATAATTAAGACACAATAACACGCCGAATAAATACTAATTCAGAAGTCAAACAACAAAAATCAGCGTTATATTTAAAAAAAAAATTTTTTTTTTTTTTGTCCAGCATTGTTGGTCCGAAAATCACACTTTCAATTTTTCTGCTGCCAATATTATTCAAAAAACATCTTCCATTGGAGAACTGGATTTTCTAGAGGCATTTCACATTCATAAAAATCTTTCTGTTCTAGTTAACGATCCTAATTCCAATCCAAATTTGCCTTCGGCTTTTAGAGAAATTATGTTTTAGTTCTGGTTTCGCCAACAGATGGTCGCCACTTGCTTATTCTTGTCCAGGCTTTCTTATCTTATCTAAACATTATTTCCTATCTTGTTCATTTGCGGTTTTGCAGCTGAAGATGATGGTTCGGTAAAACCATCGAAACTAGTCCTGTGAAAATTTTTTAAATATAACGCTGATTTTTGTTGTTTGACTTCTGTATTAGTACTTTCATGATAAATGAACATCTAGCAGTTTATCTGCTCAATCAATCGAAATGAAATTTCAGATATTATTATTTGAAAGTATGTGCTAGAGATTGTGATGATTTAAACCAATAGAGCTCTCACAGTTAGGGTTGCAGTGAAAAAATGTTGGAATTTTGGAATGGCAACACCCACTTTTTTTCTGCCCAAATTGATCTGTGCATTGAAAAAGCCTGAAGTGGCACTGGAATGGTACATGCATGGCAAAAATTTTCAAAGTAGAGCTACATAAAGGACCAATGCAACACAAGAGGAGAGGAAAAAAGAAACTTTGGAATTGGAAAAAAAAACTATTTGGAATTACACAAGATTTCAAAGTGCCCACCTTAGCAGATGACAAGGCATTGTATGCGAGAGATTGTTCACAACAAGGACAAACGTTGCATTACATAAGCACTCTGGCAACTTTTACTTTTTATGGCATCTTTCAATTTTGAAAAATCTTGTGGATTTGATATGTACACCTTAGATTTC